GAATATATTCAGAATTATAAGCTATTTCAAGATCGACTCCTGGATTTTTGCTGTGATCACCTTCCTTTATGACACATTTGCCCAAAACCGAGATGCTTCAGAGAAGCAGGTAAACCCCTTGGTTATGTGATCTTCATTCTGGACTTTTATGGGCTTTTTGCTGTTTCACCCTGGAACTCAGATGTTCGCTTTTCTGTTTCAACATTTTCCCCATCCTGTTGACTAATGCCATTTTTGGGAAATTGAGTATCTTTCCACTGGGGTTGATCATATAATCACAAAATAGTAGCAGCAATAATAAAATAATATTTGAGGAAAATAAATGGATTAAATGAAAAAAAAGTAGCTGAAAAAAATTTGAAACTACTAGTGGCTATCACTAAAAAAAAATATGTAGATATAATTTAAGAGATAACAATTTAAAAATCAAACATGCACACACACTTCACCCAGAATTTCATTCTGGAGTAATGTGAGTTGGGTTTAAAAACATGAGTCAGAGAATTCACTGTTAATGAACTGTATTCTCAAGTAAACCACAGTAAGTTTAAGAGTTTTAGCAGCATTCTCTCGAGCTGCATTTCTTTCCAGAGGAAGTAGTCGATATAAATCTTTTTTCTGGATGCAAATATGAAAGCACTGTCTTTTTTTATTTTATTTCATTTCATTTATTTAACTTATTATTTTATTTTATTTTATTATTTTATTTTATTTTGCTCATGACAACCTTTCTTATATTCTAGAGATGCTTGCCAAAAAAGTGCATTCACGATCCCACCCGATCTCGGAAGCTAAGCAGGGTCGGGCCTGGTCAGTACTTGGATGGGAGACCACGTAGGGAGACCAGGTGCTGTAGGCCTAAAAATAAAATAAAAATAAAAAATAAGGGATTGTAAGCTGACAAGGTCCTCGCAATCTCTGAGAGGTCAACCAGGGGTTGCCATATCTTAAGGGAAAAAAAAAAAACTGCATTCACCAAATGGAAACGAGTCTGAGGTAGAGCTGTGAGATAATAGGTTGGTACAAAGGTTTGAAGCTCGAGCGGCTGTTTGCAGACGGCGTCGCAGATTTGCGAATGACAAGCATTCTTTCTCCACTGTGTCTTCGTGGCGGACATGAGAGGACCCTGTCACGCGTCGGTCGCTTACACAGGCTGACGGCACCCACGTGACAAGTCTCGGGGCTCGGCCGGAAATTTCCTTTTGCACATAAGGTGCTTTATTTAGAGATAAGAGCTGGTCCGAGTCCCTGAGCGTTAAGTGGCAGAGTCTCTCACAGCGCTGATACTTTGTTAGACTTTGAAGAGATACGAGATTTAATTCTTTAAAATGTTACAACTGGGTCGTTCCTGCAGAAGACACGGAGCGGTGATTTTCATCTGCCTGATGTTTGCAGCTTCTTTTGACCAGAGCATATCGTTCAAAGGATCTCGGCTGCTGATATAACTTAAGAAATGACTGGAAAGCAAAAAAATAGAATTACTAGTTAGAGTCAAGCCACAATTGCAACGTTTCGACGAAAAATAACTTGATTTTATCTTTTCAAAGGTCCTAGGGCCGAATGAAAATACGGAATCAGTATTTGTACACTGACATCTTATAAGTCAGTGGCTTCAAGATAAAAAAGGATAACTTTTCTATATTTTTCATCATGACTCATTAGCCATCTTAACACCGACCATGCTAACGCCTTTCAGATTCAGATTAAAATGTAAATGCCTCTTCTTTAGGGGGATATCTGCGTAGATCTGACTATAAGTCTTAAGCAATTATTTGTAATAAGCCCCAGGAGAATCCTTTCTCGAAACGGCTCCAGGGTCAGCGTCACAGAATTCCACCATTCCTCATCGATTCTGTGTCTTCTGCCAGTGTTTAAAAGCGGCAAGGGATGGTCACGCTGACTCCTGGGCGCCTCACCCCGTGGTGGCCTGTGTGGGGGAAGCGGCAGGGCGGGCTGCGTTTCCGGGCGTGGGGACCGCCGAGCCCCCGCGGGAGAGGGACCTCCCGGGCCGCGGTCATCTCTGTTTTCAGGGCTCCCCCGGGGACAGGGGACAGCGCCTGGGCCTCCACCTGCCACCAGCCGCATGTCCGTAAGTCCTGGGAGCAGCGTCAAGCAGACAGTGTCCCTCAGTGGATCGAAAACTGGAAAACACAATTCTGGAAAATCCCAACACTTTTCAACTTTCCGACAAGAAAGAGGAATCAATTTCCGGTAATGAAACTGGGAGGCCTGGAGGTGTCAGGCACTGAGGGATGATGTGTGGGACTCTGCAAAATAATAGCATTTCGTGCTGCCATCAAGCGCTTACGTGACCTTTGGAAGAAATAACAGAGGGCTTCGTAAGAAGGCACAGGCCAGCGAGGCGGGAAGGGCGGCTGCCCCGCCGTAAGTAATTTGACCTACATCGTCTACACGAGATGTGGTTGTAAAAATAAGTTTTGAGATTAAGGGATAGAAAAAGCAATAACACAGATATTTCAACCCAAATAGTTTAGGAGACCTTTTCCGTGGCCCGCCTTTATCTGTTTGCTCGATTGTTTTTAATGGCTCTCCCTCCCGTGCTCCAAAAAGGCGTGACTGCACGTTCGGGGGGGCGGCAGTGACCCTTCGAGCTACTTTTGATATATTTTCGGATGTTAGGCCTTCGACAACGATTTCGACGGGAGCCTTTCAGAGCCGTGCTCTGTGGACAGGGAGGGACCCGCCGAGTGGCAGAAAGGCGCTGATGCCTCTGATCTGTCCGTGGGGGCCCTGACCGCCCGCGATGGAGGCCGAGCGTGCGTCCCCCGGGGAGTCGGGGCCGTCGCCGTGCAGTCCACATAGCACGGCCCGGGCCGAGGAAACCGCTTCCGAGAGAGCCGCGGACGGTCAGTCCCCGCGACGGTCATGGTCACGCCAGCCCACCCTTCCCCCGTGCGGCCGGCGTCCGCTCCTCACAGCGCGGCCTCAGCCTGAGACGACACATGCCAGCCGCTCTCGTGCGGAGCCCGCGCCGCCGCCCGTCGCGCTTGCCCGCAGCGTCCACGATCTCACCTCGAATTTTCAGCGTCTTCACTTTCGGAATATGTGCTCATTCAGCAAACATCTTCGTGAACTCAAAACATGCACGTTTCTGTCGCTCCTTGAAAAATCAGGAGCTCGGGTCACACGGAGTCACTTTGAGCCCGCAGCAGGTGGTGGCCGCCCCTGGGTGCCCACTGTCCCTCAGCCACGCATAGGCCTGGCTCTTCACCGATGGGGTGCACACGGCCGCATCAGCGTTTGCCGTCGCCTTGCCCAGGTCCCGGCCCACAGGCACGGATGGCGGGGAGACACCGGCCTCTCGTCCACGGTTCGCAAGCCTGGGCTTCGTATGTCCACTGTGCATTTCCAGGTTCACACACCTCATCTGACCTGAAATAGTGAAACGCTTTGAAACAGAGCTCGGTGTTCCTAGTGGCCAGCGGGGACCTCGGCCTCCTGCCCGGCCACCGTGCCGCAGGCGGGCGTGGTTCTCCTGGACCTGTCTCCTGGGCGGCGTCACTTCCGAAGCGCTGCTGACGTCCGTCACCTCCAGACACCACACGGAGCGACATGGTAAAGCCACAAAGACTGTGGCTCCCTTTCGCCAGAGGAGATGCTGGGCCCGCGCCACGCTGGTGTCGGATGACTGCCCCTTGGCGTGGACTCACCAGCGCCGGCCTCCCTCCCCTCGGGGGGCAGCCCCCCGGGCTCAGACACCTGCTGAGCCCAGACGCCCTGTGGTCAGGACCCTCCCCCCTCCCGCCCCGCTTCCCTCCGGGCCCACGTAAAGGATCCCTCTGTCTCGTGCCGAATCGATATGCCTGAGCAGCTTCCTTCCACATAGCCTGAAGTCAGATCCCCTGCATTTCATAAACAGATCGGAGCTATTGGCAAAGGTACTTGGTAAACAGACACTTTAAAGAAGGAAACTTTTCGTAGCTACTGAGTGGAAATGATGAGACGCTGACTCTTTCCTCTGTCCAACGCGAAGTTATAAAATCAGCCTCGATTAGGTCGTCGGGGTAAAATGCTGGGTGTTTAAAGATCTGTTTTCATCATGAAAACATCTCGGAATGCAAGTTTGACAGGCAGACTTAGCAAAAATCAGACGTTCGTTTCCATTATTTTATTTCGAGAAAAAGAAGTCGAGTGAAATGGAAATAAATGTAAACAGCCACGTGGCACCACAGGCTCCAGCCCTACTTTGTAAAACGGTCAAAATCGGCCTCATGATGGAGCGTGTCAGTGCCGGGCGGTCTCCACGGTGGCCTCAGAGCACGGCTCCCGGGGACGGACTGCGGCTCTCGCCCTGCAGCGGCCAGGGCTCCGTTTAGGCAGCCGTCCCCCTGAGCTTCGGAGCCGAGTTAGCGGGCGCCGTCGTGACGATGCGTGCCCAGGCTTCGCGTCGTGCCCGCCCTGGCTCAGCAGCTCCCGGCTGAGAGCAGAGGCCTGGCAGCTGGCGACCCCGAGCCCTGGGTGCCGTGAGCAGCGGCCGTTTCATTTCCCGTGAAGCCGGAACCCGTGCAGTGTTAGAGGAAGTCGGCCCAGGGCAGGTGGCTCTCGATGAGGCCTCGCCTGAGCACGGGCAGCACAGACCCCGAAAAGCACCCTGGTGGCAGCCGTGGGTGTCCCTTCCTCCTGGCCTGTCCCCGGCAGGGCAAGGGGCATGGAGGCAGGATGGCAAAGTCCCAGAAGGCTCAGAGGCTTCCTGGAGGGTCCGGCACATGGGCCGGGGGCCCCAGGCCAGCACACGACCCCTGGGAAGTCTCTAAGGAAAGTTCCCATGATGAGTGTATAAATAGAGAGAGGGACAAATAGG